TTGTTTTTTTTTATGACTATGTGTTATTTACGTAATAAAAAAAATTGGTAAAATTGATTTTCTTTAACAAGGCAATAACTTGCTTTTCCTTTTCGTGCAATTTCTAGAGATTTGGATTTTGTACTGGCTGTGAATTTGAAGCAGAAAGTTTATATTCTCTACATTGAATTGGTATTAGTTTGATTTGGTTTCATATTTGGCTTGCATATAAAATTGGATAATGACTGCATTACAGTGGGGGAATGACTGACTCTAGGGATGCATTCTTGTTTTTTATTTATTATTAAATTTACTGAGTTAACAAAATTATGTAGGTTTCAAGTGTACAATTTTATAATACATAATCTGCATATTGTATTGTGTGTTCACCACCCAAATGGTGCCTTCTGGCACCGTATATTTGACTCCCTTTACCCTCTTCTAACTCCCTCCTTTCCCCTTACCCACTGGTAACCACTGAACTATTGTCTGTGTCTTTGAGCTTTTGTTTTTTTGTTTGTTTGTCTTGTTTGTTTGTTGCTTTCAGTTTAATATCCCACATGAGTAAAATCATATGGTTCTTGATTTTTTCCATCTGACTTATTTTGTTTGGCATGATAATCTCAAGATCTATCCACAAATGGCAGTATTTCATCTTATGGCCCAGTAATATTCCATTGTATATATGCACATCTTCTTTATCCAATCATCTATCAAAGGACACTGATTGTTTCCATGTCTTGGCCACTGAATAATGCTGCTGTGAACATTGGGGTAAATACATCTTTATGGATAAATGTTTTCAGATATTCGGGGTAGATACCCAGAAGAAGGATTGCTGGATCATGTGGTAGCTCTATTCTCAATTTTTTGAGGAAACTTCATACTGTTTTTCATAGCGGCTGTACCAATTTACATTCCCACCAGCAGTGTATAAGGGTGCCTTTCTCTCCACAACCTCTCCAACATTTGTTATTATTTCTCTTATCGATAATAGCCATTGTGACAGGTGTGAGGTGGTATTAGGGAGACATTCTTAAAGTTACTGGGATGGGATAAGTGAATTTGTGAGGTGTGGCTAAGCAGTAAAAACCCTTTGATCTACTTTTAAAGTGATACTTATGTGTGTAAAGTTTTGAACATGTTTTGCATTTTTACAATGATTATTAATCATCTTTCTTCAGCCATGTGTTTTGCATAGTGAAATATGCATATTTCACTAAGGCAGTCT